TTTTTGGACAGCTAATTATAGTTATTTTTCAAATGCGTGCAGTTTACTGGTATTTTAATATATCCTTCTTTCCCATAAGAATGATAGTAAGGAAGATGATGTTACGTGTATGTTTTTAATTTATAGGTATTTATAATTTAATTAGGTTATATTTCAATCTTTCTAAATATTTTTAAGATCCCAATTGTTGATTATAGTATTATTTGTATCATTTTGTGAATTAACTGTAATATATTGTGGACAAACTTTCTCCAACGAATTCTTTATATTATATTATATATTCATCATATCATATTCATTATACTGTTTATATATTTGTTTTTTTTATTTTGTTGAAAATGTATTTAAAACTAGATATCATAATAGAGTACAACATTTTTATTTAAATTTCTAACAATTTTTATTATAATATTTGAAATATTAACGTATAATTAAAAACATCCTTGTCAGATTTAATGTTTTTAAAGATTTTAGTTTTAGTTTGGTATACTATTTTAGGTCCAATACTTTTTAATAATATTTATTATTTTATTGAATTACAATTAATAAATACATTGATGTGTATGTATAATTCCCGGTATAATTCTATTAATATAAATTGATAAAGTAATATGGAACAAATATTTAATTGTAAGATAAACATTTTTTACATAACCTAGAAAAAGCATAGTCCTCCTCATTTTCCATCCTGGAATAGATCAATTTTTTCTAGTATTTCTTATTCTCTCGGATTCCAAATCTCCCCCGCTCCTCGGCCGTCTCTTTTTCACGTCTTCGCTTTGGCTGTCATTCCTACTCACTAATTTCGTCTCTAAATTCTTCTCTAGTCTACATTTCCCGTTCTCATCAGACTTATTGTGACTTCACATCTCCTTTGGGATATTCTTCTCTCGTCATCATTATTCTTCTTACTTTACGTTCTTCTTTTAAAAAATCCTTAATCATTAATTTCATTTTTAGTACCAGTTTCTTTATTTAATGTATGTTAAATGCATTTATGTAATTATGCCAAACTTATATTCGTAGTAGCTTTACTCATAGATTAAATATACATTGTTTTACGTTTTATACGTTGTATATTTAATCTATGCTTTGCTATAATGCTGTAAGGCAAAAAACAATTAATATTTAGTACGAATTAATAATTTTACTAACACATTGAAATCTTAGTTCAATTAAACCTAGATAATAATTGAATGAAATTATTAATAATCAAATTCATTAGATGAGTGTTATGAAGTATTTTCAGTAAATTTACTTGATATAGCACACTTATTGACAAATTACATTGTTATATTTTTTCATTTAACTTATCTTGTCAGTTATTAAAAATGCAATATTAATTTCCGACTTAAAATAGAATAATATTATTCTTAATTTTTTATAATACTTAGTTATTAATTTTATATATTATTAATATAACCATAAAAACATTCTGAAACATTCATAAATCAATAACGTCATAATTTATTAATTTTATTGAACGAATCCAATGTATAATTTGCACATGAATATTATATCAAATTTTTTTTGGGTACAGTTACCTTATTTTTCGTTTTGTATAAAATAAACTATAAATTAAAAATATTTAGTGAGCAATGGTTTTCGATGTAAGTAAAAGTAAAAACTAATACATAGGTTTTTATTTCATGAGTTATAAGATTAATTTTTTTGTTTATTTACGTTTACTGTTTTTAATTTTCAAATAAGGTTTATTCAATTATTTTTAGATTGTCGCTTATAATAATGATATATTTAAAATAAAGCCAAAAGAATTTTTTTTTGGTTTTTAAAAGGTGTTCACTTGATTCTTAGTATAAGATATTGTAAGTAATTGGTCAAATTAATTATGTCCAATTAATTCGTAGTTATGCATTTGTATATATTAAAGAGTATTATATTAGTAGTGTATTTTTATTCGTGTAGTGTGATGTTTATAGTATACGTAATAATATTGTTTGGCTAATTTAATATATTTTTATTTCGAAAATCTGTTTTTGTATGACATACTGGGAATTTTCAAGGTTGAGTTTATTTATTGTGTGTTGTGAAAATAGTAAAATTAAAGCATTAAATGGTACAGTAATTTGAAATAAAAATTAATTTTCAATTTAAAGTTGAAATTTTTTGTGGGTATTACATATTTTATTTACCTAAATGTTGATCAAGATTAATTATACATTATAATCCAATATGAATTCTTAAATAGTTTTTTTTGTTAATTTTTGTAATGTTTTTATTAAGTATAAATAATTGATAAATAACAACTTTATTCTATAAACCTTGTTACATTTTTTTATTTTTTATTGTATAAATTATGCGTGATTTTTAACTAACTTTATTAGGTTATTTTAAGATTTGTATTAGGATATATTTATTTAAACATAATAATGACTTATAATATGTAATAACTCGTAATAATTATATTACAATATATTTTTATTAATAGACTTATAACTAAAACTATAAAAAAATAATACATTCAATTTGATATCAAAGTTGCAACATTTTTTAATAACTTCTGTAGAAATATGTATTGTGTTTAAATATCAATACCTTGGTATCACGGCCAAAGGCATTTGAAATATCGATAGTTTTTATTGAATTGTTTCGATAGTTAAGCATATGTTCATTTATAAATGGTTTTTAAAGACTATCAGTTGATTATGTCCGCGACAACGTAGAGTCGTGTTTCAACTTGTAACAGTGTTTCTTTAAATAATCGATTTCATTTATGTATTATGCGGTAAAATAATTATTTGAAATTACCAGTTCTTGGATATTGAGTGAAAAATAGTGTGTTTATTTTTTTATTATGTGTCAATGTATGTATATAATATATTTATCTATAACAATTTATTCGTAGACTTTTATTATAAAGAATTCCGTACATAAACTATTTTTAATAAATAATATTTTTCTATTTTTCGTATTTATTATTTTATTTTCATATGCTGAGATACTATAATTATTTTATAGAAGCTATAATTAATTCGAATTGTTATAATATTAAATAATTAGTGTTAGGTTACATAATAATTTTTTGATTTAGAAATTAACTCTCGTTATAATTTTTGTTAGGTACACAGATTGAAGTATTTATGTATTTATTTTAATTATTGTATGTCCGATAACTTCATAATTTATATAATTTTTTTCTTAATATATTATCCATAATTTTGGTTAAATATATTTTTAAATTTTAATTACCATTAAATAATTTATAATTATATTAATATATTGTATTATAAAATATTATTTCTAAAAATCAGCTTAAACCTTATAATAATGATAATTTATATAATATACATTTTTATTTAGAGAAGTAAAGAAACTTATAATTTTATATTAATTAATAAATTATAAATTTAAGTTTCGAATTAAAAAGATAATAAAACGATTCTTATGGGTTATAGTTTAAGTGTAATTAATAGTCAATATAAAGTTATTATTAATAACGTATTTATAATTTAACTATTAATTTTATTTTAGTATATATTATTGATTATAGAAAATCTATGATGGATATAACTATACCTATAGGTATATAGATTTAGATATATATATATATATATATATATATATATATATATAGGTATAGTTAGGAATTTTTAAAATATGTTTTCATATTTTTATTAGTAACGTATTATTTGTCTGTACAAATTTTAATTCATATAAGTTATAATAATTTACATAACGTAACATTTTACAAGTTACTGGGTGAGATATTATTAATGAATTACGCGAAAAACATAAAAGTATTAATATAAATAATATTTTAACGATAATATTTTCTACTTAAATTATTATAAATAAGTTTTGCATCCTAAGTTCATAGTCTTAGTATAAAATATTCCGCCAATGTCATGAAGGTCAATCTCTTTTACTCTCAAACAGGTTTTAAATGCGTATTAATACTATCACAAAAATGTCTAGTATTTAACTGATTTAACAGACAAAATATTGTTACACTATATAATAATAAAAAATATCAAAAATGAACGACACCATTTTTTTTTATACATCATCTTGTTGTTAGTATTTTGAAATTTCTAACTCCACAGTCAATTGTTTTGTTGTTTTTGTTAATTTAATGGATTTTATTTTATAATCAATTCGTAAATTATTCGATTTTATTTTAGTTCTAACTATCTTAAAATATACTTAAAGTCTTGAACTTTATCTAAATTTTATTATATTTTTCGATACCTTTATTTTATTAATAGTTATTAATAATTAATTATATAAGTATTTAGTAGCTAAAAATATGCACGTAGATTACATTGCTAATTTGACATATACATTTTTACATCTACATTCATGTTTATTTAATTTTTGTACTAAAATCTATGGATTTATGGATTCGGTGGAATATATTAGTTTATCTAATCATTTTTATGGAATTTGGGTTCTAAAATTAGGAGTAATAAAATGTATAAAACAAACCATTATCTTTTAATATCTTAACAAATAAGAATAAATATTTATAATTGAAAATTATACAATATAATCAATAAATCAGTGCATTTACTATTTTTTAATAATATTGTAAAATAAAAATTAAGATTAGTTTGAAGCTATTATCAGTTAATTTAAAATGTCTTAAATTTAAGTAATATAGAAATTATTTTTTAACAATTTATGTTTTAAAACATTTTTTGTAAAAATATTGCCAAATTAATAAAATTTAACTTTTATATTATAGTCATGTATTAATTGTGCACAATAATTTCTCCTTTACGTGCTCAAGGTGCATAGTAGTAAATTAATTAGTCGTTTTCCATACGCACATTCCCTCTCTCTATCATCTTATTTAGTGGTATGCCTATATCATAACCATCATATTCTGGTAACCTATCATTCAGTTAGTCTTTCGTTAGGAATTGAGGAGCGCTCTAGATTTGACTTGTGTACAAAGTTAAATCTTATAGTTATTAGTTACCAATAACTAGTAGTTACCAATACTAGATCGAGTTAATTGTTCTTCTATTACCCTTTAGGTATTAACCATGGGTCCATATACTTGTAAAGAGTGTTCAGCATTACAAATTATGGAACAGAGCCACACCACAGTGATTTCAAATTCTTTGACTAATGGCATATCAATACGTAAAAGCCATTTTAATGGTATTATTCCACGTAAGTATTCCTATTTATGTTGGTAGATTATCAGTATAGTTTTATTGTATTTTACACATAAATATTAATAATTTTATCTGAAATAAAAGGTGATGGGTTTAATTATATTTATGCATATAAAGTGTATTCATTACATTTTCCAATTATAATTGAATAATCATAGGTTTTTATGTAAAGTTATAACAATGATAATAATTATATACCTAAGGGTAGGTTACATCAATTATGTGTAACTGTAGTATTTTATAATAGATAATTAATTAACAGTGTAATATGTATTACTATTTTTGTACGTGAAATCAAAACTATTTTATGCTAATACATTTTTGAATAATTTAAAACGACTAAACTATCTATTAAATATTGGTTCTTAAATGTTAAACACGTCGAATTAATTTCAAAAAATTAAAAATATTCATTCTTTAAAACTGGTTTCCATAATATGATAACTACTTAATTTATTTTAGAATTCGTTTGTGTATCACTTTATATAATAATTTTTTGACAATATAATAATTTTTCAAATGGTATATGTATATATAAATACATATACTTGTGTGACAATAACACAGTAAAATTTAAAATATATTTACAAATAAATTAATAACAATACATTATAGTATCATATGTAGTCAATTCTTGATTTTTACGTTCAACGTCCTAACGGTTTCCTTCGTAATTTCATTGATTCCATTGATTCCCAAATCGAACTTTCTATTCAGGAAATTATTTTTAATATGTCTCATAGTCTGACTGTCATTTATACTGTCACATTCTTAGCTGTTCTTTATATTCCACTTACTCTTAATCTCCTTCTTAGTCGATTAAGAAATATCTAATCTTATCGTGGGAGTTCAAACCCTTTTATTCTTTGTGTGGAACCATTATCAAATTTTTATGTAAACCCGCTTAATTTAGCTAATCTTCCTTCGATATATTTGCACTGTAGAACTATGACAGAGTTAGTTCTCTGGTTTTTACCCATGATGGTTTTCTTGATCTTAGTCTTATATCAAGCGTATTTTCAAACTCTTTGTAGAGAATTAAGTCTCATTAATATTTCAATCTTTCTAATTTCAAATGATTACAAATGAATACTGTAGTAGGTTATTTTTGTATATTTTTAATGTATTTATATTTATCTATTTAAACTCTACTTTTTTTATATCATATATATTATCATTTTTTTAATAGTTATTTTATTTTTAAGTGTTATTAAGTTTTATTTATTATGTATATTTTTGAGTAGGCTACTTTCGACATTTTGCTATTTGTTCAATTTTGCAATATAATATAAAGAAAGTGGACTCTTTTGAAAACATAATTTATTCTATCATTATACTTTTAACATGAATGTGTAGTTACTAAATTGTAATTATCTAATTATTTAAAAATAATATTAAATTAAAATGTAAAAATATTTATATGTCATTAATTGATAGGGCTAAAAACAGAAGGTTGTTTGGGCTAAAATAATAAAATGTTTAATCAATTTATGTCGTGGTGCAAATGATGCAACGATAATTTCATTGTTTCTATCGTATTTCTAATCAACTAGGTATTTAATAACTTATTCGTATTGTATGTAATTGCTACAATGAGTTTTCCGAGTTATCGTTTAGACATTTAAATCTAAGAATGAGCTAATCGAAAATTGATTGATCCTTTATGAGGTTTATTTTTTAATTTATTATATATTTAATTATTTAATTTAGAATTACTAATAATTGCTACAGAATTGTCATTAATACTAATATTAAAATATTGTAAAGTTCGACGAAAGTTTATTGATTTTTGATAAGACTTAGGTTTGTATTTATAATATTAGGTTAAATTTTAAAGTTTTTTTTCCAAAAAATGTTTTTAATTTAAAAAAAAAAAAATCGTCATTGATAATTTATTAACAAATTATCAAATGTTGTCGATGATTACGAAACAAATAAACCTAAACCGGATAACTATTACGGAATTATACAAGCACAGTGTAATACGCCATACATACATAAATATTGAATTTGAAAGTGATTGAATATCGAAACAGGAAATGTTCGAAAACCGTACAGATACTACAGTTTGTTACTGATATAACAAGTAATGAATGTGTATAGGTACATATTTAACTGTATTTTTTTTTATGAAATGTACCTTTTTTAAGCTATCTTCCAATTTGGTCTTACTTCCATTTTACTGTTTACCTTATTAGTTTTGTAATTATCAAATATTTATTTTATTTCTATTTCAGTGTGTATTACATTGGTCAAAATAATCTTCTTAACGATAGCTTATGATTTAATACACAATTGAAAATTTTTATTTTCGGTCAATCAAAATAATAAAATTGTTAAAAGTTATGTGATATTAAAATTATTTATTTATCATACTTTTAAGTCTTATGTCAATTAGGTAGTTGCTTTCTATGACAGGGGTCTTCAACCTTTTTATGCAGAGGGCCACATATTATTTTTTTTAAATCTTGCGGGCTGCATTCGTTGTAAAAACATGTATTATATATAAAAATTTAGTTTTATTCTTACAATTTTTAAAATTAGGTTGGTACATTTAAAATTAAAAATTAGTAAATTTAATAACTAAAAAAAATTGCTATTGGACCATTTTTCTTGAAAAACGAGTTTTTCATCCGAGATTTTGCGTTTTTTACTCACCGACATATTGTATAAATATTACGAAGAAAAAGTATGAAATTGAAATTTTTACACATAAAGGAGAATATTGTGCTCGTTCCACAATCGATTACGAACCAACAGACAATAATAATTGTATATTGGTAGGTAATTAAATTTATACTATCACATATTTCTGATAGCGATAGCTTAACTGTTATAATTTTATTGAACTAGAAAATGTAAATGCTAAATTTAAAATGTGATCGAGGGCCGCATATTATGATAGGGCGGGCCGCAAGCGGCCCGCGAGCCGGGGGTTGAAGACCCCTGTTCTATGACATAATTATTTTGTTTTTTTAATAAAAACAAGTCTTGTTATTATTTGTAGTAGCCTAAAAATATTTTACTTAACTCTTATAAGAGATTTTAATGTTAAGAAAACCGTGATGATATTTTTTAAACCAATTAAGTAAATTAAAATAGAAATTGTAAAAAAATTAATAGTTTATGAAAATTGTTATTTACCCTTTGAAGTTAATAGATAATAATTATAATAATAAAATTATAAACAAGATTAATAATAAAATAATAAATAATAAGCTTAGTAATAAAATTATGAGTTAACTTGAAGATAATAATTAACTTATGATCTTAGATTAAGTTAATTTTTTTTTACTAATATTACTTGTGAAATATATCTTTGACATGAAAATTAACGTTTATTGTACGTATGTAAGGTCATAAGTAATAATAAATAAAATATCATTCATAAATTACCAGATATTCGTTTTCAGCTTTTTATAACTTTTATAATAATTTTAATTTATTTAGTATTAATTTTAAAAATTCCAGTAAGTACATTTTAATGAGTTTTAAAGAAAATTAACGAATATAAGATTAAATAATTACAACTATATAAATATATTAACCTATATTGACTATTTTGTGTTCAGGGTATATATTTCTATTAAATTATGTAGTTGTAATAACATGGTATTAAAAATTAAAATATTCTTATTGTATTAGTGTTAGTACTATTGTATGCATATGCATATTTCACGATGAATTTATGATAATTATTTTTATTTGTTTGTTCTATGACGTATGCCATATACAGTGTCTGATTAATTCTGAAATTGATTTCCAGTATTGAAATACTTAGTTTAAAATTAAAATTTTTTTATTTAGAATTATGATGACTTTTATTTATACTTACTAATACGAGTATTCATCTTAAATATTTAAGTGTCACAATTTTTATTAATTTTTAGGAGTATTGAAATAAAAATAAAACGATTGATTTATTGAATTGATAAGTCCACAGTAGATATTTTTAAAAATGTGTTTTAGAAGATTTATTAAAAAGGAAAAAAAATCGACTTAGAAGACTACGCAATTTTTTTAGTAAAGTAATAATAAATTTAATTAGCGTGTTATATGAAATTATAAAAAGTTATGAATATTATCAATTTTTTTTGTTGGTATATTGATTTTAAATAAGTGACAAATGATTATAATTTATATAGTGATTATTTATATATATATATATATATATATATGTATAGTATAAATCATAATATATTAAACTAGGTGTGATGTATTGTTTCATGATATGCATACACTCTTCTGCCACCCAAAACTTTTATAGTGCTATATGACGCCGGACTTTCGCCGTTTTTCATTTGTTGTATATTATATAATTGTGATAAGTACAGATTCTAATAACTTGTCGAACATGATTATTTGGACTTGTAATTAATTATTTCATACTGTAATTAGTTGAAAATTTACTTGTTTAAAATAATGATATTTATTAAATATTAATAACATGAAAAATTAGCATTAACACTAATTTAATAGGTGAATATTTTTAATACAAAAGTTTTGATAAAAACTAGATATTCGGTTATCGCCAAAAGAGTTTGAAATCATGATAATAAATGAACCAATGGGAAGTGGCGAAAGATCAGTGCTATATTTACTCAATATAAGACTAAAATACGATTATTGACATCATACCTAGTTAATTATATCATGGTATAAACAAACTAAATTATAACTAATTTATTATGTATTTTTAAACTTATATTATTTGCATGTGCATTTCTATTTAATCCACACAATTGCAAGTTGCATCTAATTGGTATAATTTTACTAATGTACTTATTACGTTAATAACTTATAAGTCATAAACAGATAAATACAATTGACCTTCAAAATTCACAATATCACAGATAGTCGTTCAATATAAGAATCTGATATTTTTAAATTATTCTGAATTATTTTTAAATCGAAAAATTAAATATAGGAATTTATAACGTTTTTATTTTGCTCTTTTATGATACCAAATGTGGACAGATATTGTGGTAATTGAATTAAAAGTAATATATTGTATTTTTTTAATGAAAATAAGTCGAATTATTTCATCAGTTTTCATCGAACTCTATTGAACAAAATTACTAATTTATTTTATTTAAAAAATAAAGTTTTTCAACCGCTTACTCAGTTATTATACTTAATGAAGTAATTATTAATTTTGAACAGTTATTAAAGTCTTAAATTTCAAACAAATGATTAAAAAACATAAAAAACATAAAAACATATTACTATTAAACTGTAAAGAAATTTTTTTAAATTAAACGTCAAATTTTATTTATTATTTATGTTTTATCTAGGTTATATTAGTGTTACTAAATCGTGGATTTTCCGAAAATTTGGAAAAAATGTATATTCATACTTCAATATTACTCTAAATATTTTTAAAACCGATCATAATAATTTCTGTTAATGAATTAGTGAACTTATTCTGATCAATATCATTCTGAGTAAATTTCAAGAAAAATTAATTTACACTATTTTCTAAAATCTTAAATTTCCTTGATTATGTAATTATAATTTTAACACAAAACAAGAAATTGTCATCATAAAAATTAAAAGAAAAAAAAAATAGTAAAATGACGATAAATTCTATGTTTATCTAAATTTAGGTCAGTTGAGGCCTTTAGCCAGACCAAATGATCAGGTGGAGCAAACTAAATTTTAGGGGGGGGGACATTAAAATATATATAGGTAATGCATACATACCACTACAAAATACATATGCACATTTAATACTTGTTGGGAGGGCAACGATTAGTTCCAAGGAGACAATGTATTGCCTCTTGCCTCCCCCAGTGATTAAGTACCTGGGTAAGTTATAGAATTGGGATTTAAGACATACTACCAATATTATAATATTATATAATATAATTATTTTATTATAATATTGGTGTATAATACTGTACGTATAATGGAACTAATAAATGTATAGCAATAAATTTATTTGGCAAGTGTATGATGCGCAATTTTTAAATTTCTAAGTTTACTTATATTTCTTTAAAATTTAATTTCGTTCAAAAATTAGAAAATAATTTGAATATAATCATCATAACAATCACTAGGAAATTTATTATTCTTAATATAAATACTGTCAGTAATTGGTTGATTACCTTGAAAATAAATGTTTATTTTTTCTAATTATTTTAGAATTTTAGTACTATTATTGTCGTGTAACATATCTAGATCTGTAGTATTATGAAGGTAAGGTTACATATTTATCTCCATTGATGTTTTTATTTGTATATATTCGTCTATATTTTAGTACCGGAAATGTTGAAACCAGTTTTACTTACGCTTCAATGTCGAACGGCTATTGGCGAATGCATAATTTAAACTTCTCCATCTAATTATGATTTCTAAATTCTTTTTCAATAGTTAAGTATACTAAACTTGTGAGTTGTAAACTTTCTTATTCTCCATTTTATTACCATTATTATTGTTTTAGATCTTATATACTAGGTATGTAATATGTGTATGGTGATTTAAAAGAAACTAGAAAATATCATACCTACTTATCATGTATAAATGCATGGCTGCATATAAACTTCTACACAAATGATCTTTTTACTTAAATTTAAAACATAGTGTAATTTCCTGCAGAAACACATTTTACCTGCCAGTAAAAGATGGTGTAAACTATACAAACCCTTTTTAGATAGGTGTTAAAACTACATGATATAAACGCCAAATACTTAAAAATAGTCTGTTGCATAATATAACGTTCTATCGTTATCGAGCTGGTGTATTGTGCATTATACTCATATCTCATAATATTTATTTGATTTGTTTGATTGTTCATTATATTTATTACTGTGTATTCATAATAAGCATTATATACACTATAGTATAAATTTATATTTGTACAAACACTTAGGATTTTGACGTATTACATATATTTTTTTTGGAATCTTATCAAAGGTTTTTTACCTTATCGTGTATGTTCGATAACGTAAAAAAAAATACGAAAATACGCCGTATGAACAGTCTTTTTCCTGCATCCATCGTTAGAGTCGGTAGTATTTTTGTAAAATAATAATAAAATAATTATTACAATGGATTTTATATACAGTCAAAATGGTAAAAAGTTTTTTTTACTTACTTTTTTACATACTTTTATTATTAAATAATTTCAAATTTTTTTTTTGCATCAAGGAGTTAACACTGTACCCATATAGGAGATTACATACGTTTGTAAGAGTTAACTGTTAACTATATAAAAATCCAATATGAAATTAATTAATTCAAAATTAAATTAAATCTTTATAGTAGAGCAGTGGTTCCCAAATTGTGCACCACGGTGCCCTAGGGGCACCGCGAGCACTTTCTAAGGGTACCGTAGTTTATGGTTTATAACAAATAGTTTAAAATGTATAGAATTTTTTTCTAATTGTTTTCATAAAAATTTTATAGCAAATAATGAAATATTTTCATTTGTATAATCGGACATTCGGACATTCGGACATTGAGAGGTTTCTCATTTTAATCTTTAATATTTTTATGTAATTATTATAATAATAATAATAATAATAATTTTTATTTATTTATTTTTTAAGTTTAAAAATTCATTCATTTATAATAAAGTTAAATTTGAATAAAATTAGTAATATTGGTTATCAATAAGTATTTTTTTTATTAGTAATTTTTTATTAGTATTTCTTTTAAATTATTCACAGTAGGGCACCGTGGCTAATATGAGTCTAAGAAAAAGACACCGCCGAAAAGAAAGTTTGGGGACCGCTGTAGTAGAGTATTATATTTGTTGTTAAAACTAAAGGTATTTAAATATTATACACATGAACGTAAGTACTTAATTTAGTGTAGTACTTGGTATTCCTATTGTTGAAAGTTGAAATTATGTATTTATTTATTAGTAAATTGATAATTAGGCATTAAAAATACATTTTTGAAATACTCATATTATTTTAAGCTAGCTACTATTACCGTATTTTAAATTAAATTACATTAATAAATTATATTATTAAAACTATCTTTATTATTCTAGATGTATATTTATTAATTTATTATGTTGTTGTTTATATATTATGTATATATTTTAATAAAAATGTTTGTACCTATATGTGCAAAAGCTGTAATTTAAGTAAAATAAAATTTATAATGTTCATGATACATTAAAATTATTTGTATTTTAGTAAAACATTTAATAATTTAGATTGAATTACTAATTCGGGTCTATATTTATTTAAAAGAAATTCTTGTGAATTAATAAATACTTCGAAAACCTTAATCCTGAAATTATTATAACGTTTTTCTTTTTAGCTATGCCATGGTTTGGTATGGATATCGGAGGGACACTCTCAAAACTCGTATTTTTCGAACCAAAAGATGCGATTTCAGAAAAAACTGAAGATGAAACTCAACTCATGTCCAATGTTACTAAATATTTGACGAAAAATTCTGCCTATGGAAAATCAGGACACAGAGATGCACATCAACAGGTATATATGTTTGTAATTAATTTATTTTAAACAAATTTATTAAATTGGTTTTTTTTCAGATGGACAATGTGAAAATTTGTAATAGGATAGGTACTTTGCACTTTATCAGATTTCCAACTAGTGAAATGAACAATTTTTTGGAACTAGCCAAAAGAAAAGGTATGGCAGCAAGTGTATCTACAGTTTGTGCTACTGGTGGTGGAGCTTTCAAATTTGAAGAAAATTTCAAAAATGTAAGTCTTAAAATTTAATAATCATTATAAAATGAAATTTTTAAATTAATATAATTTCTAAAATGTTTTAGCAATTAATGTTAAGTAATTTTTTTAATGTTTATTTTATCAAGACTCAATTTGCATTAATGTTAGTTTTTGTGGTTATTCGGAAATTGATTATTTTGCCTAAAAAATACATAAATTATATTAATTATAAATAATTTAAACATATTAATTGTCCTAATTAAAGTTATTTATAGTAAACGTTAAATATATATGACTAGGTATTATGCAGAAAATTATTTGTTTAACCTTCATTTTATATGATTTAAATACGTCTTAAAATAATGATTCAGTCTACTAAATTAATTAATTCTACTTAGTATGATATTGATTAGGGAATCTGATAACGAAAAAACTACCTAGTATTTCTTAGTGGTAATTTCGTGTAGGTATCTTAATTTTTTGTTTTCATTGAGCAATGTTTATATTAATCACTTTTATTAGATAATTTTAATATATAAATAAATAAACAAATAGTATATATATAGAAATAAATAAAAGCTTAGCCTAGAGTATTATTATATTGTTAAATATAACCAATTTGGAATTAAAAATTCATCATCAGGTGTATACAAATTTAATAAAATCGCGACTTAAAATAATACTCAATTGGGTATAAAACACTTTTTTAGATAATTTTAATAATTATAATATAAAAATAATATATTAATTTTAAAGGTTTGTTTATATAATCGATTACACATATAATAATATTAATAATTTTTTTCTTTATCCTCACTTTTTCTCTCAACTATATTGTAACAGTACTCTTGTCCTCCATCTCTTCTTGATGCGGTCTCTAACCTCTAAACCTTTAAGTCTTAATATTTTAAATTTACTATCAAAAAATATCGTTTGTATTAATATTATTTGGATAGTTAAATAATCAAATTCTGTTCTTTGTTGTTAGTAATTTATATAGTGATTCATTCAAGACAAATTCTCAAGTATGAAATTTTTTTTAAAATGATTTCCTTACTTTAATATAGAATTATCTTTCTCTTTTTATATAATTGGTGGGTTGATTTTTAAATTTTAATAAGTATTAATTTTAGATCTATGTTATACAAATAATTATAAGATAATGTGTAGGCACTATATATTATACATATAGAACTCTTGATATTGTGTAATATATTGACATGTTTAAACTACTACTACTATACTTTATAACTTAAGCATTTTTTGGATAACAAAATGAGTATATTTAAAAATAACTGTGTTATTGTTAATGGTGTTGATTTGACTTTGAACCATGGTAATCTAGTGTTGTTAGTTTCCAATGTACATGTGAAACTAACATACTCGTCAAGAATCAATAAATTATAAATTTTTCAAAATTTACTGATTAGTCAGTTATCTGCTGTTAATCTGAATTTAGGTTGGCTTTAAGTTTTAATATTTTAAATTTATTATCAAAAAATACGGTTTATATTAATATTATTTGGATAATCATATAATGAAATTTTGTTCTTTGTAATTAGTAATTTAAATAGTGATTTATTCAAGATAAATTCTCAAGTATGAAATATTTTTAAAATGATTTCCTTATTTTAAAACATAATTATCTATTGATTTTTAAATGTATTTATTAATAAAACAAAATCCTAATTATATAAAATTAATAAATTACACAAATCAAAATATTATTAAACATCAAGTTAGGTGTATTTCTCTGATATTAGGTTATTAGATTCTATTTTATTTAATAATATTTTTGATTAATAAATTAAATTGATTTCTCATTGATTAATTTACTTAAATTTACTTACTAAAGTTGTTGTTATTGATTTGTTTGAAATACTTTTAAGTATTAATCTATAAATTAAATATAAAATCTATTTGTATATTTATATGTATATATTACTATTAATATTATAATTATTGTTATATATTATTTTTCTTAAAACGTCAAATATTTATTTTGAAAAAAAAAAATTATAATTTTATTTTTTTAACAGGAATTAAATTTGAAGTTATGCAAATGTGATGAATTAGATAGTTTGATTCGCGGCTTATTATTTACAGTAGCTTCCAATAATAATGAATGTTACTTTTGGTCTCAATGTACTGAAGATGAACAGTGTTCAACTCAAGAGTATACATTCCAGTATAATAAATATCCATTTATCGTAAGTATTATAAACAAAGAAATAATTTTACCTGTATGATTATATAAGCGATTAATTGTTTTTTATTGTGATTTGTAGGTAGTAAATATAGGATCTGGCGTAAGTGTTTTGGCAGTTTATGGTCCAAATAATTATAAAAGAATTTCTGGAACCAGGTTAGTAAAAAAAAATGTTATCATATTCCAATCACACAAAATGCATTTCAACATAAAATCATATTTTTTTTATTGTTATTTTAGTATAGGAGGTGGTACATTTTTGGGATTATGTAGTTTGTTAACTGGATGCAATACATTTGAGGAGGCTATTGAATTGGCTGCTAATGGTGATAATACAAAAGTTGATAAATTGGTGCGTGACATATATGGTGGTAGTTATAGTCGATTTGGTCTGCCTGGAGAATTAGTAGCTAGCAGGTAATATATTGATTATTATGGGATTCATTACTTTAATTAATTGTTTCTTATTTTATAGTTTTGGTCATATGAATTCTAAAGAGAAACGGGCACAGGTTTCCAGAGAAGATTTGGCTCGAGCAACTTTAGTTACCATTACAAACAACATTGCATCAATTGCAAGGATGTGTGCATTAAATGAAAGAATTGACAGAGTAATATTTGTTTCATAGTTTATTGTAATTACATAGTATTAATTAGTTATGAAATATAAATGTTATTTTAGGTATGCTTTGTTGGTAACTTTTTGCGAGTGAACCCAATATCAATGAAGTTATTATCACATGCAATGGATTATTGGTCGAATGGTTCACAAAAAGCTATATTTTTAAATCACGAAGTATGTATATATTTATATGCATTATTGCTTAATAATAATAATAATAATATTTATTATGAAATTTAGTTCAAATAATATCATTCATAAATGCTCATTAATAATAAGGTCATAGACTCATAACATAATCATAATAGATATTTTTATCACTTAGATTATTTATTTGTATAATATTACAAATTAAATTTTATACATAATTAAAAAAATTAATTATGTTAGTTAAATAATAAAAATTAGATAAACCTATGGTATAAATGCAATTATACTTGTTTAAGTGCTGAAAATCAGTATTTAATTCGTGATATTGAAAAAAAAGTTGTAAAACCAGGAATCAAATTCTAAATTAACTCTTTTCAAATTGTAATTGGTTTCAAGTTTAAAATAATAAAATAGTAATATGATGCACAACATAACCTAACCTAATCTTACTTTGGATATAGTATGATTTTTTTGAAGGGTTTTTTTTTGTTTCTTAAAATGTATGTATAGTGACTAATAAATTAATTGAATATGTAATATGTATACAATTTACATTGACATTGTTGAAGAAAATGATCTATCATTTGTCTATTATTATCTATTTATAATATTATCTATTTTAGTTGTACTAGTATACCATTGTGTTATATGATGTCACATTTGTCTAATATAGTTCCTCAACAAAATATAAAGTTGAGTAATGAACTTAGCTAATTTGCATGGTTATTAACCTTAACCTTATACCTAATTGTTAAAACAATTATATTTTCATATTAAATATCATTAGTTAATCAACATTTTTTTTCAGGGTTACTTTGGTGCCATTGGATGTTTGTTATCATTTGATGAGCGGTATAAAGACTAAAAAGTAATTTGTTGAATGATTTAACCATTCAACACATTCCACATTGCCAATCCATTTTGATTTCAGCTGGTTGTGGGTAGTGTATTATGAATGAATCAAAATATTTATTTGTATTTACTCTGACCTGGATAGTAATTAATATTAATTTATTTTATATTTAAGACAGCATTGCAGTCAACAAATCTCATTGATAATTAATTTTGGTGATGTGTTTATTTTTAATTTACGAGAAAAAATATTAGTCTATTGGTATAATTAGTTACCTGTGCTACATATTTAATTGTTTATTTTTCAAAAATGTGTTTTCATTCAATTATTGTTTATGTTCAAATATATTTTTATTATTTTATATATTTTAGTAACAAAATTATTTTCATGTATAAATTTTACATGAAAATACAACAATACATTTGTGATAAATATCAAATCAATTTTTTTTACATAGAAATTTAATTTATATAATTTGTAATCAAATTAAAAATTTTGTATTGTATGTGTATTAGTAAAGTTGTTTGTAAAATAACATAATTATCAAACTGTTATAATAAATTAAATTTATTTTATTATATTTCTTATTATGCAGCCTCAATTAATAAATTATTGAAGTATGCTAAAGTATTTATGCTAAATTATATCATTTAAGATATTAATGAAGAAAATTTAAATTAAATTGTATACGGTTTTATTAAAAAAAATACTACGGCAATGTTTATTCTTGAAGTTGAAATTAAATTTAACTGAAATTTATATACAATTGTTTTATACTATTTAATTCATATTCATATTTATACTCTAGATAAACTTGAATAGCATTAATTTGAAAACTGCATACATATTTTTGAATATAAATAATGCAGTTTTTTTTATCAATGTTTAAGTATCATAATATGAATATTAATATGCATACTATGCACAATAAACATATGTAACATTTATGAACCGTGTAACTGATAAGACTGGACATTACAAGCCATAACCTATAAAATCGATTACATTTATCAATATTCATTATTTTTAAATTTTAAATACAATTTTTTTCTCAAAATTATTAGTTATTTTTCAATTGAACCTTAAGTTATTAATTTTTGTTCTAGACTGGTTAGTTTTATTTGCTAAGTTATGAATGTATGTTTTATTTATTGTAAAAATAATTTTTGAAAATATAAATGAAAAATTGTTTAAATTAAAAAATTTCTATTTAAATATGATGTAATATGTGAAGTATTTAAAAGTAAACAAGTTTTTGAAAACAATTTTTTTTACAACAGTTTGGTTTTTTATTTAATTTCTTAAGGACTCTATTTATTAATTATAATTAAAATTAACTTTGATTTACTTGATACTATATTAGAATATTTATTTAGAAGAGGGTGATACCAAATATGTTAAAAACAGTAAAGTATACGGTTCTAAAAAAAACGGAAAGCGGGCACAAAATATTTCTTACAATTAAGTTTAGTTATTATATCAGAGAGAATATGTTTTTACTAGATTTAGATGCTTTGTTCTGTATCACTTGTAATTTAAATTATACATTATTATTTTTTAAATATTACCATTTATAATGATGGAATGAAATTTTGAGCTTATAGACAACAGTTATTTTTCATGTTAAAGTTGAATAATATTGCAAAGATTAACTTACACCTTTTACATTGTAAAACTGATTTTACAACTTATTATTCATCAAGTTTTTAACAACTATAAGTGTTAAAATGGACTACATACCTAAGAAAAATGTTTGCATCTCACAATTTATTAACTAGTGATACAGGAAAGCTTTTTAAAGAAGCAATGTTCTTTTAAAATTCTGTAGTAGGTTAGTTTGTAGTTATGAATTGTTATGTTATGACTAAACGTATTTATGTTTGATCTTATTTATATGTTACATTCGGTTCTTTCTACTATCTTAAAGAAAAAGTATTCAAAAATATATTTAAATTATAGTTATTATTAATCACTATGTTTGTATTCTATTTAAGTTTAGGAGCATATTTGACTGTTAATTAGTAAACAGTAGATTGATAGTTGTACATCATCTGATTGCCACCAATGAAAATTAAATCAGCACAAAATATGTTTCTTGACTTCAATAGAATATTTATGTACTTATAAATCGTTTGCAATTTGACATTGATTTTGTAAAGCTTTTGAATATAGTTTTGTTTTGTTATTAATAGGCTAACATTTATTTTCAGTAAATAAGTGTGTTTATGTATACGTAGCTTAAAACATTAATAATATAAACTTGAAAAAACAGTTATAATGACTTTTGTTATCAATTATATGACTATATTTTTAACTTAATAATATTATTACACGAGATAATAATATTATCTAGAAAAGTTTCTAAATCACAAAATTTAACATTAAATGTATATGTACATTATATATATTATATTATATGTACATGTATATATTTAATTTTTCTAATGGTCTAAGCAAACTGTCTATTTATTTATATATTATTATAAAGTTATATTATAATCAATTATTAATTGTGTGTTATTATTTATATTGAAATTGTAATTGAAATAAAGTGGACTTTTTCTACTTCTTTGTTCAATTACCATTTTAAATGCATCACTGAGGCGAGTATTTTATTGTTCTGTTTTTGTTATTCTTAGAACTTTATTGTGTTTACAACTTATATTTTTTAAAATTGTATTATTAATAAAATATTAGTTTCTCTTTTTCATTAATACACTCTAATGTACCTACTCTAGAAATGATTCTGTTTAGTTCCATCAATTTACAAAACCATAATAATTACCCGAGTTTTTAAAAATATGTCCTCCAATTGTTTATATGTTACGCCGTCTCAAATTTATTTCAGTCTTGACATGATTAATTTAAGATTTATTGTAAATTTTAAAACTCCTTTTTTTGTTATCACTGATTATGGTCAATTTTTTGTCATTGGAAATCAAAGTGTGAAATTGTTTAATATGTTTAATTGGACATTTTATTTACAAATATTCATAAATCATATAAACGCTTTTGATTTTTTAAAAACATTAACACGAAAATAACCAACTAATCTGGATCTTTAGATTGTTGAATTAAACGTAAAGAGTTGGCAATGCCAAACATGCAAACAAATATAAATATATAATAAATAATATAAATAACTATAATAACGTTGATTGTGTTTGTAGTTAGTATCAGGGCTCAGAAAGTCGCCCTAAGATTTATATGCTTTTATGTTAATATGTAATGTATATACTATATAGAAATAAATTATGATGAAGTAATAAATATATTTTGTAAAAAAAGTTGACATATATTCAATGTCTTAAATTAAATCAATGATCAAAATGATTATGTATGTTATAGTATTATCTTTGAAATCTTTAATAATAAAAAAGTTATTGTATTTGAAAAACTGCCCTGAACAATACCGACCGGTGAAGATTTTTTTTGTCAAATTTTAAATTCAAACCCCTATTAAAAAAATGTTTTACTGGAATTTGCAATATTTTTAAATTTATTTGAGTTAAATATGCATTTGAAAATCAATTTTGAAAAAAGATTATTTCAATCAAATGAATATGGCCATATGGATGTAAAACCGAAATAGATATAAGACCAAAATAAATTTGGGGGTCCTATAATTATAACTGCATTGTTCATGTAAAACCTGTGGGCGCCACTGATTATGATACATTATAATATGATGTTAGATATCATCAGATATTATTAGATATCATCATCAGCAACTAAAGCCAGGGCCGTTCAGAAGATGAAAATCAAGGGGGTTGAATAATATGAAAAATGCTAATTACAATTTTTTTACTCAATGTATGTAGTATAATTAACTATATTCAGTCGTATTTTTACTTTTTAATATGTGTCAGTGTCGTGCGTTTTTAAAATTGACAATTTAATTATACATATATATATATATATATATATGTTATATTGTATAATAAGTAGTTATATAAATTTTATTCGTATATACATTGTATTACGAAATATGTAATATTTGTTTTCCGTAAGTAAAATTAGGTCCTTCTAGGCTATAATGAAACAAGTCCGACTGCCGACTGTTGTTTTCGTTGGGGGGGGGGGTTGAGACACCCTCAAAGAACCCCCTTCGAGATGGCCCTGACTAAAGCCCAAATATTAGGGTGCTGAAATTGCTGAAAATAAAATTGAACGGTATTTCACTGTAATTACTATAGGTTATTTAGATCTGAAAAAAATAATAGTGCTACATTTTAACTCAGGGGTGCTAAAAACCCATTTGCGCCCCTCTAGTTTTAACCTATGGTGGTGAATATTTTTTACCTCAGGTGTATCGATGGATACATATAATTTTGGTGGATGGGTGAGTAGGTGCTTGCAGTGTGTTCGAATGACTGTATACACGTACAGGGCCGGATTAACCTAGGTGCAAAAAAAGCATTTGCTCCAAGGTGGAAAATTTAGTGGGGCAGCATAAATATAATTATCAAAAAAAAAATATTAAGTACAATTATTTTAATTATTTAAGCAAAAGTTTTTCAATAATGATTAGAAAAAAAAAATATGGAGGAAATTTCATTAAGTGTACAACTTTTGAATCTGACATAATTTTTATATGCTCTGTTGGTAGACTTGTTATTGTTATTTATAGTATTTTCTATGATTTCGATTTGATTTTCAGTTGTTGTTTTCTTAATAGTTAAATTGTACAATTTAGACATAGAAACATATTTTGTAGAAGAGTTGGTACAGTTCAAAACTATTGTTCAAAATTGTCCGTCATGAACCAATAATACTTTTACATCACTATTGAGAACACTGAAAATATCGTCTTTAGAGGTATCGTTTCCTAATATTGAAATAATTTTAAAATTATTTGCGCTTTATCTTCTTCAAATGCAAGTGGCAAGAGATATTTTTCTGTTTTAAAACGTAGGTATAAAAAATTATTTAAGATGACAAGAAAAAATTTCCAATTTATCAATTTTATGCATAGAATTTGATTTGGTCGATGAAATTAAGCTAAATTTATTAGCTATTTTATTAGCTAGATAAATTTAACTAATACAAAAACTTGTAACTATTAAATTCATAAACAAATATATTTAAAGAAAAATAATTTATATTTGTTTTTTTTAATTGAAATTTACTTTAATTATTATCCGTATATTTTTGAACCAATTTATTAATATTATGATTGTAATTTGTGACTATTTTCCATTATTTTAAAAAAATTCTCTGAAAAATTATTCTGTGGAATTAAACATATAATTATACTTTTTAGTGTAAGTAGATTAATAATTATATTAGGTATATTT